CTTACCTCCTCCCCCCCCCTCCTCCCTCGTTCACCAAGATTGGCTATAAATACCAAATTTAACAAAAAATTGGCTTAACAAAACAATATATGTATTTAGATAATTATTTTACATATCATACTTTTTAAAAAAATATTTCTAACAATTCTTTCAAGTTTAAACCATTTATTAACAAAAGTTTTTATAGTATGAAGGGACAGATACAATAAAAGGATGCAACTTGTTGAATAAGAAACCAAGCAAAAATGAGTTTTTGTTTTGTAATAGAGATGATAGCTGGTTTGAGAATTGACTATGATTAAGGATAGCAATCCCCGGATCCCAAAGTCCTGGGATTTTGTACAAAATATTTATCCCGAAAACCTATTAGTCTTTGAAATTTCCCGGGATTTCGGGATTGTCAAAAAAAAGAAAAAGTTAATAAAGTTTAAGGCTATAATTGTAGTTTAGTAATTTTTATATTGTCTTTGGTATAGTAGCTGTTTGGTTGTGTATTTATTCTCTTTGCAATTTTTTCCTTTTAAAACTCTCTTTTTCTGTATTTTACTAAAAAAAAAAAACTCAAAACATTATTGCTTGTCTGCAAAATGTTTATATGTTTATATATATATATATATATATATATATATATATATATATATATATATATATATATATATATATATATATATATATATATATATATATATATATATACATAAATATATATATACATAAATATATATATATATATATATATATATATATATATATATATATATATAAAATTAAAATTAAAAATGTATAACTTTTATTAAAAACTTTTGCTCTTTTCACCAGCAAGCGCTTATATTTTTGTTATTTTTTATAATATACTAGTTTTGATATTTTACTATATATAATTTATATTATAATATTAAAAATAGTATATTATAAAAATAAATAAAATTTAAGCGCTTGCTGGTAAAAAGAATAAGAACTTTTAATAGAAGGTATACATTAATTTAATTTTAAATTTTCTGTTTCCAAAAGTATGCACGATTTTAATTCCATTTTTTATATCCATTCATTTTAATTTTCAAATGGTTTATGAAAATGCATGATTTACGAAAGTTTTTTTTAACATTTATATTATTTATATTATTTTTTAATTTTTATTATTATTTTTACAGTGTTACCATTTTAAGGTATTGTTTTATAATTTATAAGACTTATGTTTACTAAATTTTTAAAAGTCTTAGATAAGTTTTAATACAAAATTAAGTTAAAACATGATTCATCTTAATTTTAGAGGTTCATTAATGTATTAGATATTTTAGTTATATTATCATTAAATTAATCATTTTTAAGTGTTTGGTGTGTGGACAAATTTCTTCATCTCGAAATCTCGGGATTGAAATTTTCTGGAATTTTTGCCATCCCTAACTATGATAGTATTTGCAGAAAAAAGAAAGAAATACAACCTTGCAATGGGAGAGTGGATCAAGTTTGGCATCCCTAACTATGATAGTATTTGCAGAAAAAAGAAAGAAATACAACCTTGCATTGGGAGAGTGGATCAAGTTTGGCAGATAAAGCAAGTCTAATTACATTTAAATGTGTTTTTAAACTTTTTTCTGCAAGAAAGAGGGTTGTTATTCATCTATATAGGAATGCCAATCATTCATGCGCAACATTGTATAGTTAGTTTTCTGATATTTAACAGCTGTTGATGGAATCAGCCTCTCTGAGAGCTACCACAAAGTTTGGTAAACCTGACTACCAGCCTTAGAATCCAGTTTTTTTTCTTGCAAATCAAAAAAAACTTAAAAATCTTAGCCATCTTCATGTTTTCCTTTTTTATACAATCTTCAAATTTTAAAGTTTTCAGTTAACTGTTTCCTAGTATTTTAACTTATTCTCTATTTTAAAGTAACATAACTTTTATAAGTGATTGCTCACAATCTTGTTGGAAGTAAATTAGCCTTTAAAAATATATAAATATATAAGTATTTAATAAATAGTAAATGTAAGCATAAAATTATAATAAAGTACTATATGTTTTTTTCTAGCCCTAACTATCAACCCCTGCTAAATCTTATAATTTTGCTGAGCCAGGTTGGGCCGGGTTTGGCAAAAAATTCTGGAGAGCAATCTGACTTGTCTAACTACCGTTCCATAAGTCTTCTTCCTATCATAAGCAAGGTTTTTTAGTCTTTAATTAACAAAAATTTAACCTCTCATCTTGAATTTAATAACTTACTTTCTGATCTTCAAAATGGATTTCAATCTTCTCAATCTACAGCAAACAGATTGCTACAGCTAACAGATTTGCTAATAGTAATAATCGATAGGTTTTATTGTGCATTAGATAGATGTGAAGAGGTTAAGTCTATGGCTCTCAACATTTCTAAAGCTTTTGAGAAAGTTTGGCATTCTGGTCTTTTTTGTGAGCTTTCTTCTTATGGTGTATCTGGTAACATCTTTAAAATTATTGAATCCTTCCTTACCAATCATAGTATAAAAGTTGTCCTCAATAGACAGCACTCTTCTTCATAGCCTGTAACTTCAGAGGTTCCTCAAGGTTTTATCCTTGGCCATATACTCTTTTTAATTTACTTTTACGATCTTCCAGAAATTCTCACATATAAGATGACATTGTTCGCTGATGATTCTACCATATAATCTTGTCTTGATAAGAAGCCATTACTCCTTTATTGCTTCGAGGGGGCATTTGAGCTTGAAAAGGATCTCACTTTTGCTACAGCATAAGGCTCACAGTGGCTGGTGAGCTTTAATTCAGATAGAACTCAATTTTTTCAGCTAATTGTTATCGTAATAATCTAGATCTTCCTATATTTATGAATGGTAATGTGCTCGATGAGTCATCTACCCTTCATCTTCTAGAATTAACTCTTACTGCCGATCTTTCTTGAAAACCATATATCAAATCGATTGCAAAATTAGCATCTGCTAAGGTTGCAATCTTTTTATCAATCAATCTCTTTATCGTGCTTGATACTTTTTTACTCCAGATTCTATTCTTTTTCTCTATAAACCTCAAATCCGTCCCTGTATGGAATACTGTTGCTATATCTGGGGCAAATCTTTGAATGACACTCTTTTTTTTTTAGACAAGGTGCAAAAATGCATTGTAATCATTGTTGAACCTGCTCTTGCAACCAACCTTCAATCATTGTCACGTTGTCGTATTGTTGCTTCTCTTTCTCTTTTCTATAAATTCTATAATGGGCACTGCTCTAAAGATCTAGCGTCTCTTGTGCCATCTACTAAAATTTATTTTTTGTTACTCATCATTCAATTAAGTCTCATCCTTTTACTGTGACTGTTCCTAAAATTTCTTATTCGTATAGTTTTTTCCCACAAACATCAGTTCTTTGAAATTTGTTTCCTTCATTTCGCTTTCCTGATTCATATAATTTGCAATTTTTTAAGTCATCTGTCAATTTTATTTTGCTCTATTAACTTTATCTTTCCTTTTCCAGTAACTTCCAACTCTATTAGTGGTTGCTTGCAGTCTTGTTTGAAGTGATGTTGAAAAAAAAAATCAAGGGGGTTGTAAATTTTAAATGTTCATAACTTTGACACTAAATGATTAATCCATAAAATTTAAAACCTGCCAGTAAAGTTAAGTTCAGTATAAAATAGTAAAAATAATAAATTCATCAACTCATTGCCTCCACCTTTGTAAGGGGGCTAACTTTTTGGGGTAATTTTATTTCTAGTCCCCAATCATAGTTATTTTTTGCAAAACATTAATTGACATACTTCAGTTTGGAGTTTGCACAACGCCTGAAAGTGTCAAGTCTGCAACACAGAAAAATCTAAATTGCTCCACTTATATGATGTGTGCAGATCAGAATGGTCATGGCTCAATTTCTGGCTTCATGTCAGAAATGGATTTCCTGACCCTGAAACATAAGGCTAGGTGTATAATACGACTAAATGTAGATGTTTCCTATTTTCGCTAACTTTTAGTATATTCTTGCCCACTATGCACTCTTGTCAGTAGGTTGAGTGGTTGAGTAAGTTCACTATGCACATTAATAGGTTGAGTGGTTGGGTAGGTTCACTATGTACTCTTGTCAGTAGGTTGAGTGGTTGAGTAACTTCGCTATGCATGTCAGTAGGTTGAGCGGTTGAGTAGGTTCACTATGCACGTCAGTAGGTTGAGTTGAATAAGTTGTTGAGTTTCGTTTTTTTTTTTATTAAATAAGAGTTGATTTTCATTCTTTTTTTTTTATCTTTTTCTTAATGTTAAAAAAATTGAGAACTGAACCTTATATGGCTGTATTTTTTAAATGCTAAAATTTTGATGAAATTTGATAATTTTTTATAAATTATGATTCTATTTTTTGAATTTGCGTAAAAAAAATGAAAAGATTCTATTAAATAAAAGAAAGTCATTATGCTCAGAGTACCGTATAATAATTGATCCTGGTATTTGTCACCCTTTCACCAAAAAAAAAGTTTTAAATATTCAGCCTTAATTACATTAAAGAATCAGATGTCGCCGACATAATTGTTTCTTGTGGACTAAAAGGAAACATCTGCTGGTGGTGACAGTGCAAATTTGAAACTTTGAAAGTTAAAGAAAAAAAGTTGAAATATAAAAATATTTGTTTTAAACGGTTTCTATTTCATAGCAACTTATTGGAACAAATATTTAAAAGATACAGTTTTCATGGCAACTGCACATTAAAAAAGGTAGAAATTTCTACCTTTTTTTTTAATGTGGTAGTATATGGGATATACACTTAGCATAGTACAATTTTCTGCCTTTTAAGGTTAAAAAATATATTAAAAACAATGATTTTTCATAAAATTTTCTACCTCTTCTACCAATGGTATATCACATATTCTACTCTAATGTAGAAATATCGACCTTTTTTTTTAGGGTGTGGAACGAGCGGTTGAAAAAAACTTAATGTAAAATTAACTTTAACTAAAAACTTTATTATCATTATTATTTTAATCACTATTAAACTTTTTTATGTTTAACTTAAACATTTATTTTACAGAACAACAATATCCTTTGCCAGGTGGTTTGTCATTGAAAAATCTTGTTCCAGCGTTGAAAGAAGGGCTGAATAATATTCGAAGATATGTCTACAAGGGTTCGCTTCCGACACCTCCATGCTATGAATCTGTCACATGGATTGTGTTTAGGCGACCAATTGGAATTTTACCAGAAAAAGTATATTTGTTTTTTATTATTTTTTTACAATTTTTTTTCTTTATTTTATTATCGTTTTTTTCTTTGACATTTTTTAATATTTATTATATTAACGGGACGCTGTTTTCTTAAACTCCTAATAATTTGATTTAGCTCAAAAAGATGCGTGGTTTATATGGTGAACATTTTGATCACCTTTGTGGTAATGTAAGACCTATACAAAAGTTAAATGGAAGGGAAATTTTCAGTTTCGCTGTAGAACCAGAAATATCACCAACAAAAGCTAGCCCAAAAACAACTAAAAGACTTTTAACTTCACTTCCACCAACAACTCCAGTAGCTCCAACAACGCGCATTGTTACTACAGCGAAAGTAGTTCAAACAACCCATGCATCACCTGTTATTTCGACCACTTCAGCTAGTCCCACATCAGAAGTTGCACCTGATGCCCTACCGACAGATCAAACACCACCCTCACAAGAAGGCAGTGAAGAGATCATTACTGCAAAACCAACTACAGCCGAGCCGCAGCCTCTTTCTGATGAACCTCCTTTAGTTACTCAAGAGCCTGGTTCTAGGAAGAAGAAAAAGTTAATCACGCTTTAAAACATACTTCTTAGATATTTCCACTTACTTTTAGCTTGCTGTAAATATTCTTTTTTTTTAAATTTTTGTAAAGTAATAATTTCAATATAGTTATATCTAATATACTTGTTCTTGTCATAAAATTTTCTGTTTTTTTTTATATATATATATATATATAAACGTGTGGGTAATTGCGTCAATTTTTGACAGGATTGTTTCAAATCTGTCTAATAGCTTTGTTTAAAAAGAAGACATTCATAATTAAACTTTTGCATATTGATGGATAGAACCAGACTTCTTGTCCTTAAGACTTCGGTCTTAATTTTGAGTGCACTAAAATTTGTTTTAAAAAAGCGTAAGCTTGGAAAGTATGTCTTTGGTTTAGACTTGGTCTAAAAATAATAAGCTCCATATAGTTTTGCTTAACGTAATCCATTTACTTAATATTGTAATATTATTTGCTGTGTGTGTCTGACAACCTAAATAAATTATCTGTGGCTCTGTTTTTATTTTATTTGCAAATAATATAATTTTTTTTTTTTTCACAAATAATCCATAAACAGTATAATATATAAAGAACGTACTCGCTGGTACAGCAGGTGTTAATTGTTTTACTTTTTGAAAGTTATCTTAAAATTAAATTAATATGAAAACCAAAGCTCTTAGTTTTTTTTTAATTAAGCATAAAAGAGTTAATTTTTTTATTTATAACAGTCTAGTTTCTTCAAGTGTTGCAAATGTTTTACAATATGCTAATTGTGAAATACATATTCACAGTGGTGTGTAAATGTAAAAAAATCATCTAAAGATTTTGCTAATGTTTCAGTTTTAATATTTAAGTGTTTAGGTTTTTAAAATAGATTTAGATTTTAAAAATATATTCATTTTTAAAAAGTGCAAATGAATTTAATGTTTTATCCACTTTACTAAACTTTTTTAATTTTAGGACATGTTTAACACTTTACAAGAATGCATATTGGGTGATTATGGTGGCTATTTGATATGTTTTATCTTTTATTTTATTTTTTTTAAGTTTCAATAAAGGTGGAAAAGTATGTGCATACTCTTGTCCTTAATACAAAGAGGGAATTTAGACCCGATCTAATAAATGGAAGGAGGGGGCTTGATAAAAGAAAGTGGGGAATTTTGTTTCTTTTAAAATATATTTATCTCGCTCAGTTCGAGTTTTTTATAAAAAAAAAAATTAATTTATAAATCAAAACTAATATTTTTTATAAAACACGCATAAAACTATCTAGTTGCGGTAAAATGAGCATTTTCTAACCGTTGTTTTATCATAATTTCAATAGGCTTTAACATGCTGATACTTAGTAAGAAATAAATCAAAAGCTCATTTATCGGGGACTGAAATAATTATTTTCTAATTTTTAAGACCGATTTTTACTTAATTGTTTATTTAGTTTAAAGTTATAAATTTTTTGTTGATAACAAGTAAATAATAATAAGTAGTGAATGGGGGAGATCTTAAGAAGCTGGGTGGGAAAAATTTCCAAAAATTAATCAACTCCTCCCCCCTACCTTTTATTTTATTTTATAATGGACTCTAGAGTACCAAGCAGCATAAATACTCTTTGCGCGTGTTTATTTGTATTTTGAATAGAATGCATATTTTATAATACACAGTACAAGTCTTTATGAGAAATGTACTAGTTAGAATCTAAGTTAAAGAGAGCAAGCTGAAGTCGTACAAAAACTTAAATCATTTTCTCAGACAACGCATTGAGTTTGCAAAAAAAAATTTAGTTTCATTCATTAAGCAGTTTAATCTTCCCAAAAAATCTTATATAGTCAAATAGCGGCTAAAACCTTTATAAAAAACAAAAAAATTCAAGTTCTTTATGGCCTAGAAATGCTCCAGATTTGAACTCAATTCAAAATATAAGGATAACGAACATAAAGAGAAGATATCATAAACAAATTTACAAAGTCTACTTGATTTTGTCATTAATTAGTTTATAGTTGTATGATTTTAAAATGTGTCCAAAATTTAAAACTTGATTACTGAAACGTGTTGAAGAGTTTGCTGTACCTATTTGTACATCAATGAATTGTTAGGTTTAAACAATATAAAGAATTTACAAGTTATTTGACATAAAACATTTGTTTTATAATTTTTGGGTTTTATTCTAATATTTTTCACATCACTATATACAAGGGTAGGCTGAAAAATAAAAAATTTAGGAAATCAAAAAGTGTCTCCTGGCTTTTTATTTGTAAAACACATTTATAAAGTCACCAGTTTTTAAATTATTAAAGTGGTTACCAGTGGTTACCAGCCGATCCACTTGAATTTTTGTCTCAAAATGTAAAATTCTTGACATTTTTATGGGTTAAAAATGTAAAAACATGCATGCTTGTTTACGTTTTATTGAAATAACATTTTTTTCAAACACTATATTTTTGACGTTACTGCCAAAAGTCGAAAACATTTAACGTTTTGGCTGGAACACTCATCTTCTTTAATATAGTGGTATTCTTTTAAATGGGATTTTAACTTTAAACATTACTAGCAATTTTTAAATGGGATTTTAACTAGCAATTTTTAAATGGGATTTATACTAGCAATTTCATTTGGTTCTAGCAAGAACCAAATGAAATTGCTAGTATGTTTATAGACTGCTTGGACGAATGTTATTTGTTTTAAAATATAAACAAGCCAACGTTTCAAGTGGATGATAAAACTGAAACTAATGTCTCAGATTTAGTAATAACCGAAAATAATTTGCGAATAAATATGCTAGAACATCATCCACCGTTAGGATCGATTAAACATGGTCATCACGTATTAACATATAATTACAACTACAGTTCATCTGAAGAAATATTAGCAGAGTTTAAAAAAAAAATACATCTATAATAAAGGAAACTATGATGAAATTAATAAACACTTTGATAGTATTGACTGGTCAAGGATATTCGAAAATTTGAACGCTAATGAGTGTTACGAAAAATGGTTAGAACATTATAAAATCATTTGTTATGTAAATATACCGTTAACTAAATCAAATAAAAAGAAAAGAGCACCTTGGTTTAATTAAGGTCTATCGGAAATGATTAAGACAAAAAAAGTTTTATGGATAAAATGTAGAAAAGCAAAATTTAGAGATCAAGAACTTGAGGCGAAATATAAAAATATAAAAAACACAACGAAAAAGGCTATTAAAAATGAAATTGTTAAATATGAGCACACAATAGCTAAAAATGCTAAGAAGTATCCCAAAATAGTTTACCAATATATGAATAATAAAACTCAAATAAAAGATTATATTCGAGCTATTGAGAATAACAATGGAATAGTTATTACCAACCTTTCTGAGATTGCTAACGAACTAAACAATTTTTTCAGCTCAGTTTTTACTATTGAAGATAAAAACCTCCCAGAGTTTCCAAAACAGTGCGTTGTTTTATTCCCAAATCCTACAATCGATATTGAAACAGTTAGTAAGAAGCTTGCAACTCTGAATGTTTATAAATCAACTGGAGTAGACATAATACACACTAGAGTTTTAAAAGAATGTTGCAAAAGTGTTTCAAAACCACTATCAATTATTTTTGATCGCTCTTTTTCGAGTGGCATTGTTCCATGTTTATGGTTATGTGCAAATATTACCCCTCTGTTTAAAAAAGGAGATAAATTAAAAGTAACAAATTACAGGCCGGTATCACTCACATCAATAGTGTGCAAAGTGATGGAAAGCATAATAAGAGACACGCTAATGAATCATCTGACTAAAAATAGTATACTCTCTGATTCTCAACATGGTTTTGTATCATCCAAAAGTTGTTGCACAAATTTACTTGAAACATTTGATATAATAACTCAGAAAATTTATCTGTAGATATAGCTTTTTTAGAATTTGCGAAAGCCTTTGACTCAGTCGCACATAAGAGACTATTATTAAAACTACAATCCTATGGGATCCAAGAACAATTATTATGTTGGTTTAAAAGTTTTCTAAGCAGACGAACACAAAGAGTGGTTCTCGGTGAGATAACCTCTTAGTGGAAAAAAGTAATAAGTGGAGTACCACAAGGATCAGTTATTGGACCCCTTTTATTTATCATATATATATAAATGGTTTAACAAGTGAGATAACTAATCATTGCAAATTATATGCTGATGACACAAATTATTTCAGCCATTAATACTGTCAAAGACAGTCGAGCGTTACAGCAAAATTTATGTAAGCTGGTTGAATGGAGTGAAAAATGGTAAACTAACTTCAATAAAGAAAAATGCAAAATTATGCATATCGGCAAAAGAAATTTAAAATATAATTACTTAATGTGTAGTACATTCGATATGATTCACCAAAATGCTTTAGTTATGGAAGAAACCACGTTAGAGAGTGATCTTGGTGTAATGATATCAAACGATGTCAAATGGGAAAAGCATATCAACACAATTGCGGCAAGAGCTAATAGAAAGCTCGGTCAAATAAAGAAATTTTTTTGTCGATTAGATGAAATTTTAATAAAACATTTGTACAATTTATTGGTTCGTCCACACCTGGAGTTTTCGGTGCCGGTATGAAACCCTTACTACCAAAGGGATATTGATAAAATTGAAAAAATACAACGTAGGGCTACACAAATAAATAGTTTAATAAGCTTTTGCTATGAAGATAGTCTGAAAAAGTTTAACTTGACTACTTTAAAAACAAGAAGAGAAAGAGGCGATTTGATTCAATTTTACAAAATAAGTAAAAATCTGGATAAAGTTAAATGGAATCATCCTCCTAAAATAATTAAATATGCAATAACAAGAGGTCATACTCAGAAAATGCAAAAACAATTTACACATTCTACCACAAGATTTAACTTCCTTACAAACAGAATAGTTAACAATTGGAATAATTTAACAGAGGAGATAATTAATTCTAAAAATATGAACATCTTCAAAAATAAGTTTGATCGTTTCAAAAAAAACACAATAAAAATATAAAACAAACAAAACAAAAATATAAAATATTGAAAGAAAAAAAAAAAAAACACTTTTGCAACGGCTGTCAAAGTTTTAACATCTACAGATGTTAGACTCACACGTTGTATGTGCACACCAAAAATTTATTATTGTTATTATTATTAATTAAGTCTCGAAATCGTTGGAGTTGTTTTGCCATTGGTAGATTGGGCTTATTTTATAATAACATACAGCTTTGAAATTAATCTTTATGAAATTTGTTGTAAAAATGTAATTGAAATTAATCGTGGGCTTCAGAAACGCTTTACATCATCCTTCATTAAAAGATAATCACTTTCACTAACATTGGTTTTATTGTCATCGTAACTCTATACAGTTCCTTGTAAATGACATGTTGCAGTTTATCTTTGGTGATAACTCCAAAATCTACCAAAGTAGCAGAAGCTGAACTCGCTCTATCACTTATATGATACCTGAAAAATGTCTTAGAATAAAAATTATTTAAAATTAAATTCTGCATCTTTTAGTGTAAAATTTATACGCTTTGAACAAATATTAAGCATTATATAAAGACTTTAAGATTTTTTACCCAAAAAAAATTGGTCAATTTTTTTACATCTTTTACATAACCTAAGGTAGGTTGGCCACATGGTTTTTTTGTCATAAATCTTCATGTTGCATCAAAGGAAAAATATTTATAGAGGGACACTTTATTTATTTTAAGGTTTCAGCCCATACTACTGTATATATCCATGGGTATTTACATAAAAATTGGTTTGTTAAAACATTAGATTATATCGTAATAGTTACATTATTGATATATACATTCATATATGTCAAATATATATAGACCAACTATCATTATTTATCAACTTATATCACCTTACATCACTTTATATAACTGGTATATACAATGATAAATATCCATTATAAATATCCATTATTTATTGTGATATATCACTAGAAAGACCTTTAAAACAGTATTTTAAACGTAAAAAAATTATCAAAATTGAACAATTCTACGAAAAGTTATAGCGTTTTAAGTACCAAATCTTTGACATATGGATTTGTTCAAGAAACCGTGACCAAATTTTGAGTTTTTCCTAACCTTAAAATGTCAAAGCTTTATTAACTCTTATCAAAATTTATACAACTTGGTTAGAAAGAAAGAGAAAGTTTTAAGTATGTATAAAAAGATAAAAGAACAAGTGTATATAAAAAGCGCGTTGGGGCATTAGAGGGGCGTCTACAACATCCTCTAATATATTCAAAATCGATATTTTTTATAAAGAAAGCGTTAATTTTTTTATTGAAATTTTAAAATTTTAAAATAAATTCTACCATGTCATTATTAAATATGATTGAGATACCTTGGGTTGGGTTAAGAGAAGTTTATTTGGCATCAGGTGACAATATTTAAAATACAAATAAATAATAATATATGTATATATATATATATATATATATATATATATATATATATATATATATATATATATATATATATATATATATATATATATATATATATATATATATATATATATATATATATAATGATCGTTATTAAATAATAAAAGAACGCGGGGACTCGTAGAAGACCATACAGTCTTGTCGTCGAGTACCGCTAAGAAATGTTCGTGTATAAATTTATAAGATATTTACAAGTTAAAAAATAAGTAACGATGTAAGAATCTTAAAATATTCATTTACAACTACAAGATACAATATTACATATATAATTTTTATAAATTCATGTTTAAATAGAGGGTAAAAAGGAAGATCATTAAAATATCAAAAGTATGTTGTTAAATCTTCGATGGTAAAAATGAGTTCTTTAAGCTTTCGTTTAACAGAAAAATAGTTACTTCGATGAATAAAATCCTCAGTAAAATTTTTTAAAACTATTTTATTCCATAAGAATGGTCCGCGATAATCAATACAAAATTTAAAAAGATTTCTTTGAAAAATGGGTTGCTTAATAAAATTATCATTGCGTAAAATGTATTTTTTTTTTTTTTTTTTTTTTTTTTTTAGTGTAATTTATTTCGCCGTTAAAAAATTTTTACATTGCATATACATTTTTATAAATTGATGGCTGGAGCAAGAAAAAGGCACATTTCGCCTTATCGCCGAGCCCCATTAAAAATTCTACATAACCGTAACATACAAATATATATATAAAAGAAACAATTAGAAATGAAATAGAAAATAACTAATATAATAAAAAAAATAAAAAATAAGAATTAATTAAGAAGCGTTAAGATACTTAACAGTTGCTAAAATGTTTAAGAAATAAGTTAATATAAAAAAAAAAAAAAAAAAAAAAAAAAAAAAAATTCCTGAATATAAAAGAAATTGAAAAAATAAAATCTCATAATTAACACTAAATGAATATGTAACATCATCACTTATGACATCATCACTTGTGACATCATTACTTGGATTTCTTATTCTTTTTTTTTTTTTTTTTTTTTTTTTTTTTCTTTTTTTCCTTTTTCTTTCTTTTCTTATTCATATTATCATATATCATTGATATAATTGAATCTGTTTTTTTTTATTTTTTTTTTATTGTGTTTACTTTAAAATAAACATTTTAAGTCGGATTTTTTGAGATCCATGAACAATAATAATCGTTTTGATTCATCCTTAAATTGCTCTAATGTAGTCTGCTTTTTGTTAACAATATCTGGAAATTTCTTCCACAGATAAGGTCCGCGGTATTTAATTGAATAGGAAGTTAATTTTAATTTATGTTTTGGAACAACAAAATTGTTTTCTGAAAACTTTGTTGAGTACCTATGGTTAATTTTATTAAAATAAGATTGAAATATTTTAGGAGACAAATCCTTTTTTGTTTTAAACATAAACAATAATATTTTAAACAAATTTATTTTTATCTTTTGATGAATACAAATAATGGAAAGAGATCGGGGATGAATTGGTTTTACATTTAAACATAAAACAAAGAATATTAAAAATATTAAGCTCATATATATTAAAACTTTCATTTCAAATAATATAGGCTTGGCATGAGTATAACGGTTTTTAAAATATATAAGACGTGCTACATGCTTCTGCTGACAATAAAGAGGTTTAAGTTCATTTTTATTTGTACAACCCCAAGCAATGTTTCCATAGTTTATGTGACAATGAATAAATGAGTGATATAATTGTACTAAAGTATGTTTATTTAAAACATTTCTTGCTTTTTACAATATTCCTATACTTTTTGAAATTTTACTTGATAAGTTTTTTCATGATTTTTTTCAAGTTTTGTCATGATTTTTCAAGTTTTTTCAGATAAGATTTTTCCATGTAAGATTTTCATCTATACAAACACCTAGAAAGTTGGTTACTGTTACTTTTTTAATTTGTATGCTGTCAATAACAAGATGAGGCATGTTAATTGGCAGTTTATGTTTTTTGATGAGAGAATGGAAAAGAATCCATTTAGTTTTATCAATGTTAAGAGATAATTTGTTGGTCTTAAACCAGTCAGATATTTTGATTAACTCGATGTTCACGTAATGAAATAGAGTAGGAATGCTTTTGTGAGACATAAATAAATTAGTTTCATCAGCAAACATAATTGTTATTAAATCCGAGGCTTTGTATAGATCATTTATATAAATAAGGAAAAGAAGAGGTCCTAATATGGATCCTTGAGGAATTCCACATGAAATATTTAACAAATTTGATAGAAATGTTTCATTGGCGCAAACAAATTGTTTACAAATCTAAAATTCACCGACATATCCAAGCAGAAATAATAGAGCCATGTAATTCACCTAGGCGTACCCAGTTCTTAGTAGTAAATGAAAAGACTAAACGTTGTATGGTTATTGATTATTCCGAAACTATTAATAAGTATACACAAATGGACGCATATCTATTGAAACGATTGTAAGCATA